ATGCAAGTCAGTGGAGGCTAATCCTACTTTATGACTCTAGACCAGTCATCCCCAAAGTCGGTCCTCGAGGGCCGCTGTCCTGCAGGTTTTAGAGGTTTCCCTGCTCCAGTACAGCTGATTTACATTGATAGTTGATTAACAGGCCTTTGCTGAACTGCATCATCAGAATCAGCTGTGCTAAAGCAGAGAAACCTCTAAAACCTGGAAGACAGCGGCCCTCGAGGACCGACTTTGGGGATGCCTGCTCTAGACACTGAATCCAGATACCGATTTCCAGATAAATTGGCTGACTGAAAACGAGAATGTTTCATGGGTTACATTGGAGCAACTGATTGATCTGCTTTTCTGTTTTAATACATTATTTTGCATTGACGGTTGTCAGGTTGGGTGAACGGTTGAAGAGGACCCAAATGCAGAAACTGAAACTGGAGTGGTTTCTTGCAGATTTATTCATCCAAAAGTTGGCAACTGAGGCAAAAATCCCAAATAGCAAAATAAAGAAAAAACAAAAACTAGAAGATGTCAGGGAAAACACCCAAGGATCAAGAAATTGCAACGAGGAACAACCAAAGAGTGACTGAACAGAAGGAGTATATATGGGAGACAGAAACAATGGGAGGACTATTTGGCAGATGAGGAACAGGTGTGGACAGAAGAATCTAGAAGGGAACTAGGAGTGGGAGGCTGTAGCAAGAGGGCAACAGAGGGTAAACAAGAAATACATAAGATATCAATTACAACCAAAAATGTCTACAATAACACAAAATGTAAACTTAACCATTGAAAACTCAAAAAGAAAACTTGAACAGAACCAAAACACCAGGCTATCTCTGAGCTCCAATCTGCATACACAGAGGGTATTTTCATCATTGCTTGATATTTTAACCAACAGTTAGAGTTAAAGTGTGGTCTGAGGGCGCCATGGAGACACACCAAGACTGTTTTGAATGCCCTGACTGGAAAACCTTCAAGGCTGCAGCAACAAATGACAACTTATTAAATATTGATGAGTATGCCATGACTTTGTCAGCCTACATCAACAAATGCATTGAGGACGTCAGCATTAAAAAGAACATCACCACCTAGGCCAACCAACGACCCTGGATGAATGGAGAGGTTTGGAAATGGCTAAAAGCACGGAACTCAGTTTTCAAGTGATAAAGAGGCCTTAAAAGAGCGCCTGCTGTTTACCCTGATGACACATGACTGCATCCCCGGGTTCACCAGCAATCACATTGTGAAGTTTGCAGATGGCACCACGGTGGTGGGCCTCATCAGTGACAACAATGACCGGAACTACAGAGAGGAGGTGGAGCAGCTAGTGGGCTGGTCCAAAGATAAAAGCCTGATCCTGAACGTGGAGAAGACGAAGGAGATCATCTTGTACTTCAGGAAGAACTGGCCTAACCACGCTCCACTGGTCATCAACAGCTCAGCTGTAGAGATGGTCAGCAGCACCAAATTCCTGGGGGTGCACATCACAGACACCATCAACTGGAATGTAAACGCCACCTCACTGATCAAAAGGGCACAGAACTGCATGTACTTCTTGCAGAGGATGAGGAGAGCCCACCTGCCCCCACCCATCCTCACCACCTTCTAAAGAAGCATTATAGAGAGAGTTCTGACCAGCTGTCTCACTGTGTGGTGTGGAGGCTGCAGCGCCTCAGACTGGAAGAAGGTGAGAAGAATGGTGAGTAGAGTAGATAAGATCATCAGGGCTCCTCTTCCCTCCATAAAACACATTTCATCCTAGCGCTCCATGTCCAGAGCACGTAACATCATAAATGACCCCTCACACCCCCACCATGGACTGTTCTCCCTGCTGCCCTCTAGGAAGAGACTTCGAAGCATCCAATGCAGGTCCAGCAGATTCCAGCACAGTGTCTCCCCCACTGCCATTAGACTAAATGCTCTGTAAAATGGGTAATAAAAAAACTTAAACTTAAAACTGAATGTTACAACTAACTATACAGTCATATGTTTACATTACTGTTTTTTTTTTACAATGTTTTTATCACTGCTGGTTACCTTATCAAGGCTGCACTTTAAAAAAATGAAATAGTTTAGAGAAGTGTTCTTAACGAAATTTCTTTTTGTTTACACCTGTATATACAAAATGACAAAATAAAATCTGTCTAAGTCTAAGTCTAACATACATTTCTCTCTAAAACAAGAATTGCGCTAACCAATTTGTGAAGCAGTTAAAGAAGCTACTAAGATGCAACTTCAGTCCAGAATCTGTTAATTCTCGATAGAATCTGGAAACCAATAATTCAGCTGACACAAGGAATAAGCCTCATAAGAATTTATTAAAAAAAGAGAGCAGGGATAGTACCAGAAAACCAATCAGTGATGTTGAAGGTGCAATGAATGAAAGCCATCTTTTTGGATACCAAAGATTGATCCCAGCGACTCTGTTCTTCAGATGTACAGCAGTTTGGATGATTTGGATAATTGATTGACTGATCCAAATCATGATGCTGCCATGCAGGGCAAAGGGTGCTCATGCATAGAGAAACAGTCCACATTGCAGAGGTTTACTGAAGGGCCAGATGAGAGGGTAATCCAGGTGCAGAGGCACACTAACCTGGTATGGGCTTCCAGAGGGACAGATGTAGAAATAAATTTGGTTGAGAGGCAGGGCAAGAGATTAGGAGCCAACAGGAGTATACAACAGGGGCAAGGCAGGCAGGAGAAAACAGGAAGGAGACAGATTGAGATCAGGAGGTCAAAACTAGGAATGCTGGATGTACTACTCACTAAAATAGCTTTCAAGAATCCAGTGGTTACCTACTGGGAAAGAATCCAGTGGTTACCTACTGGGAAAGACTGAAATATATAAAGCCCTTCCCAGATGCAGCAATTCCCGGTAATAGGAACTTGAAACTTGATTGCCAGTGCAGCAGAGGGAGCAGAGACTGATGTCATGGGACTACACAAGACAGCCTCTCAGGCAAGAACAGACAGGAATCCTTAGAGAATCCTTTTTCTTCAGGGAGGTACAAAGAATGTCTGGATCCATTTTGAAAGACATGTCTTATTCATTGCATAGTAAGCTGAAGCCTCTCTAATGCGGTCCCAAAATAATAAAAAATATAATAATGTTATAAAACTGGCTTTGTTCCTGTTGCCGTTAGCTTCAGAAACTCATTTTAGCATAGTCCCAGCATTTTTTCCCCCTACTTTTTTATCTCTTCTTCCTATGTTGCCCTAATGTAATCTTGATCTAGTTTTAAAGGTGGGAGTATTTTAAAAAAGTATTTTATTTTTATTAGTTTAATCTAAAGTATTGAGCACGTCATCCTTTTATTTACGCTTGTGTCTATTTTATATATACTTGTAGCTTGTTCTTTGTATGGAAAGAAAGTATACTTATCTCACTGTAAACAAGTGTACCTATGGGTGCAGAAAAAGTTAAATGTTTGTTTGGTTTATTGACTGAACAAACCGCCGTGACCATGTGTGAAAAAGCCATTTTTTTCTCTCTTCATAATAAACAGGTCATTAAAAAACGTAATTTTGTGTTTACTTGTTTTGTCTTTGACTGGTGTTTAATGTTCTGAAACACGTAGGTGTGACTCACATGTTTTTCATTGCACCACTGTATTGCAATTAATTGTTGTTTTTAACATTTGCCAAAGTTTTTTTTATGTAAACTATCATTCTGTCCATTTATACTATGTTCTTTTTCTAATATAGTTATATTAATGGGTTTCAAAAATTTTCAGTAAATATAGCAGATATTGAAGTGATGCCTAAGATAAATGATTGATAATTGATAAATGAAGAGCCAGTAGTTCAAGTAGTTGATCATTATATAAGGCTTTCTTCACTTGGTTTTTTTATGGCTTTGGATGAGTGATTAAGATTCGAGACAGATGTCAACACTAACATACTTTCTGAATATTTTTAGCTTTTCGTTGGCTCAGTTATGTAATGCTCTATTCCAGTACTTTTGATGATAGCAACAGAAGCACGCACATTTTTTCCACAGCCTTTGAGCTGAGAATATTTTTAAAGTTTTCCCTGTTAGCAAATGCTTCATAGTTACCGATAACTAATCTATTTTACTAGCGGTTTGTCATCCTGCACATTCATATGAGTCTTTCTGTCCCTTTGTCTCTCAGTGGAATTTGTCACCAAAGTAAACTTGACTTCTCTCTAAACAGTCTGTGGTACTTGAATGGAAACTACCTGGTCATCATGGTCTCTGCCAGCATCATCCTGCCCTTAGCTCTGATGAAACAGCTCGGTGAGTAATTTTAGTTAATGGAAGTAGTTTTTTTTTAAAAGAAATATGCATAAAGTAAAATTTGACATTAGTTTACTGTAAGCTTATATAGATTAAACAACCTATTTTTATATACCATATAAAACACATAAAAAGAGACTGAAGATAGATAATGAAAAAGCTTAGAAATATTTTTTGGATCATCATTACTCTGCAGCTGAGACACTTTCTTGGTTTCCTTGTAGAGGTCCCTTTAAAA